GAAAATCAATTTGTTTTAAATCAGAAAAATTTTCTTGCAAATCAGCCGAAAGAATTTTCAGATGATCGACAATAACAAGTAAAGCGGTATCATTTACTTCACATTTTTGGAGCCAATGAAACTGTTCAAAGTTTTTGTTGTTAATATATTTCTGGCATAACTCAATAAGGGTAATGAAACCAAATATCTTAGCTTTTGCATCAAACAGAGTTTCATTTGTTCCTTGAAGTTGCTTATTTAATATATTTAGTTTTTCGAAGATACTGACTAAATAACTCACAAATTCCTTACCATCCACCGTTAACAGATACTTCATTTCAGGTTTGTTGTCTAAAAAATCGCTAAGTCGCGTAATATTTATTGGTCTCAATTATTTAAGAATTTGCTTTTTTCCTTTAATTTTGTCACCGAAACCTAGCATTGCATTGAAATGGCCCAGAGTAAAAGGGTTAAACTCGTGTAGAGTCAATTTTCAAATCGCCCCCCTTAACAATCAAATTGCCCCCTAGTGGGGCGTGGGCCCCACGTTGGGAAACACTGCTCTGGAGTGTAGATGCAGATGTTCCAGATGGGTGGTCTGCTAAACCTCGTGTGTTTAGTCCCCGAGCATGCCAGGTACTCCTTTTAGAGATCCACTGAAGAGATGAAGACTGAGTAAAATTTTCCCGTTTCAAGGGTAGAGCCTGTGGAAAGCTCCACCTGTCAACCACCGTGTTTCATTCAGATTTCTAGGATTGTTTGCAAACGAAGAAAAAAGACGGATGATACAAACGTCTAATATCTTCAGCCTTGGACATCCCAATGGCAAAACTACTGTTCATTCGTTCCATAACGTAATTCTACTAATGTTTACCCCAGCAGCTGTGCTAAACATTAGTGGCATTTGATGTGTATAAATTTATTCACTCATAAACTGGTATTATTGTATGTACATAAACTTAATATTTCACAAGTTAATGTACCCTCAATGCAAACAAACCTGAAGGAATACATCCCTAAAGATACATTAAAAGAAACAATGCTGCAACAAATGCTCAATATTTATGATACTACAAATGTTCAATGTGTGCACCATTTGTCCCCCAACACACATTTTAATTTTAATCAAATTTCGTGTATAAATTCAACAATATTTTTGTTTTATTGTCCGTTACATGTCTTTCAGTGGTGTTTTTGGTATTGGGGTAAATTAATTAGTGAAGTACAAAGTTTATGTATCCCAATACTGGTTTGGGGAATAAAGTTTATGCACCTCAATGGTCACTGCTGTTACGGTACATTGGTATAATTTAATGAATGTAAAAAAATCATTGCATATAAAAACTGAACTATTTTATCGTTGAAATGTGTGTCGAATAGCTAATGGTGTACAGATTGAACAATAGTGATGGAACTGTGTGACTAGCATGTATCTTTCCCTGCATTAATAGTTTTTCTAAATCATATACCATTCATATAAAGCTTAATGACGTCATTTATCTTTTATAACAGGGTCATGATGGCGCTCGTGTATCAAAGCTTTTGCCTCCTGGAAAGTTGTTACGCTGTAAATATGACGACGCAAAAACTATGATTGAGATGATGGACAGAGGATGCAGAATTTCCGGTATCTAATACCATAAAATACGTTTAAAAACACATTTTTTGTTAAGATCTCCATTCCAGAAAAAAAAACACATTTTGATTCGTTTTAAGTTATAGGTTTGGTAAAAATAAAAATCTATCACTATATCGGTTTCTTAGTAAAACTTGGAGTTTAAAAGTTGCTTTTATTTCCATGAATTCTTTGCTTTAGTTTCATGCCCATTCGTTTATCTGCATCATAAACACGACAAATGGGAAATTAATCTATTTGGTGATGTTATCTTGCTTATAACTGTCAAAAAAGTTTGAAATGTCTCTTTTGTTATCCGACTAGATGAAATTTGAGCATTTTAGCTATAATCTAAATACGATTAAACTTTTGAATGCGAGATTTAAGTATCCACACAAAAAATAGGTTATAGAGGGGAAGGCTAACAGTAGAGCTTAATTTTTATATATACTTGTATTGCAAGTTGCTGAATTTTTCGTCAAATAAATATTGATACCTACCTACCTAAACTTTACATAAATTTAATATTTAATGAAATACCAAATTAAATGTCGACGGATAAAGTTACTTTGAACAGAGAACGAGGAGGAAGTAAGTCAAGTTACTTAGACAGATTCAATTGAAACAAAGAAGTGTTTATATAAAATTGAAAAGACGTAATTTTATCTTGCAGCAAAAATAAAATGATCCTTAAAACAATAAATTTGAAACAATTATGCTTATAACAGAGAAAAAAGTGCATCTTTACTTTGTCAGAGGTTTGTATTCCTAGAATACAGCAAATATAATGACCATTTTTAAAATGGCCACCTTATCTGGAAATAGACCATTCAAAAAGCCGTGGGACTCATTTTTGTCAACTCAACAAAAATAATTCAATACACGGTAAAGAAATCATGGGACAGTATTAAAATGTTTAATATTTACACCAAAGTAATTTTAAAACATTAAATTACATAAGATGTGCAGCAGATTTCCTATAACACAATTTTCCCAATCAGATAAAATAAAATTCTTTCCAATTAACAGTTGGTTTAATTAAAGAGACTAAGAAGTCTGGCACATAGCAATTTAGCTGAATCTGCAAATAAGTCAAGTTACATAGACATAATCATATTAAAACAGTGTTACACGGACATTGCTACTTAGAGTAATAGGACATGAAAGTGCAAGTCTTTTACTCCATATTAAACGAATACATTATGAAATTAAATATATTGTTCGGATAGAGTAACTCTAGAATAAACGAATACATTGTTAAATGATATGTGTTTTGGATGCAAGAACTCTAGATTAAGCAAATTTATTATCAACTGAAATATTATTTTTTTCTTTTTTTTTTTTTTTTTTAGGCTAGAAAACCTTAAGTAAACCTCGATTTTTACAGAGGTTTTCCAAGGATCACACGTAAACCGCATTAAAAAGTTTTTTTCTGAGTGAAAATAAACCTTATTTTGCTGTCTGGTATAGAGGCACTAAATCCAGGTAACCACTTCATATTTTGCGAGATTTCTGCATTTTAGATAAGTCAAAGGAGAAACGCGAAAAAGGTTAACAACTAAATTAAAAACATCTCGGATAAAAATCAAAGACGTAGAACAAAAGATTAGAAAAGAGAGAAAGAACACTTTGAAATTCGCGATACTTCAGGATTACAAAACATACATTGATGAAGGTTCGACAAGTCTTTGGTACCTAGTATGTTGCTTACAGGATACAACTGCTTTGCCCTGCACTTCAAGTTGGCATTGGATAATGTCTCATCCATGTTAATCACTTTCATGAATCAGTTCACGAACTAACAAGTTATTGAAGGACTAGCATATACTTTTCAAGCCAGAAAAACAAATNTTTCTTAATTTCATGACTACTGTATTCAACATATTTTCAAAACTATTGTTTACCATGCTACCAGCTGCATAAATACTTGAAACTTTGAATAGAATATTTTTTTAATATAACAATTAATGTCCGATGGCCCATTGACTTGAAAAAATATTCTATACATAAGAAATTGACAGTGGGCGGGGGTACCCGATTCTCCCCTATAACTCTAAATTAAGCGAATACATAATCCAATGAAATATTACTTTAGAAATATGGATTCTAGATTAAATGAATATAAAAATAAAGGGTAATGCTCTTTTATGGATATATTAACTGTAGATTAAATAAATTCATTATCAAATAAACTTTTATTTTATCTAAGAATTCTAGATTAAACACATACATTATCTAAAAAATATATTGATATATTTTTTTTAGATTAAAAAAATACATTATCAAATAAAATGTCTTTGATATTTGGATATAATAACACCAGATTAAGAGAAACATTTTTATCAAAAGAAATATTTTTTTCCTTCCATTAAATAATCTTTATTATCGAATTTAATTATGCAAGGGATATACCTAAACAAATTGCGAGATCTCAATTTACATGAATAGTTGTCTTTTGTTTTGTGAAATAAAATTTTATTTGTTTGTCTGAAACCACACATTACTCACTTTTTAAATTAAGCAGGAATGTAATAAAAGTTCATTTGTTATATAAGGAAATCATTCTACTTCAGCGTATATTTATTTTAAAAATAAATTAGGTGAAATTTTTATAAACAAAGAATACAGAAGCTTTTAAATTTTTGTTTAGATAATGGCCAATGTGTTGGTTGGAGAAAAAATTCTGAATATTTTTGGCTTACATACCAAGAAGTAAGTTATAAATATATCTTAGAAATGCACTCCATTTCTTTCTTTCTTTCTTTATTTGTTGTTTTCTTAATACCATTTAGTTTATGAAACGAGCAAAGCATTTTGGTGCCGGATTGGAAAAAATAGGAATAAATCTTGGACAATCCACTCGGATTGGCATTCATGCAACAAACTCAGTACAAGTAAGTAATTTTCATCTTATTAATAAATATTAAGTATTAATTACTTTTATTTAATAATTTAATGCCTATTTTTTTAATTATTAGTGGTTGATAGCTCAATACGGCTGTTTTTATTATTCATCTTCTGCTGTTCCTCTGTATGACACCATTGGTCCTGAAGCCAGAACTTTTATGATTAATAATGGTAATATACAGTAGTTTTTATGATTTATATTTAACTTTGTTTTTAATAATAAATTTTTTCGACAAAACTGTTTTAATTTAGCTCATTCAATTTTTTGGTATCAAAGTTCATGAAATCAGTTACAAATTCTCCCTATCTTAGAATTAGGGATGTAATGAATGTTCTGCCACCATTCGGTTGGCCGAATATTTGGCTACAATATTCGACCGCATGTTCGTATTATTTGGAAAATTATTTTTCTACTAAGTTTTTTTTGGGGGGAGGGGGTTAATAGATTTAATGTAGAATGATCGAAATTAATTATTATACATTATAAGAAATAGTTTTTACACATATTTGTTAAGCTCTAAAATTTTTTAATTTATCTTCTGAAAGACATTTGGAA